TTTTTCGGGTCTGGCAGGAGTGAAATGCTCAACGGTGGCAGGAAAAGCAGTGAAATATGAAAAGTGGCAGCTGTGCAGAGGAAGAAGGAACCACTTCTACCTGCTTTCCCTTTTCAGACACGTCCCAATATGGGCTCCTCACAGGGCAGGGAGAGAGAGCGTGGATAATTTCCCCTGCCTGGAAAAAATGGTGCTTCACATTCATCTAATTAATACTTGGTAAATACAAAGTCTCTCAAGTGCGAGTGGGAGACAGCTGTGCTGCCAGAGAGCGGCTGGAGTAGCTAAGGCTGGGATTTTGGCAGGCTCCGGTAATTAATTGGAGTCAGGCTGGACTGCAAAGGGAAGAGAAGGAACCCAAAATCCCACCTGGGGGATGCTGGTTCATCTCAAACTGGGCTGGAGACGAGGAGGAGCTGGGCACCAGCGCCCGGGGCTGCTCCTCTCCAGCTGTGCCAGAGGTGGACCCACACCAGGCACCTGTGTCTGGATACATCTTCATCTTCAATTTTAACCCCAAATTATGCCCATTTTTAAAGAAATATTTTTTGCTACATAGCGTTTGAGCCCCCTTAACAGTTGGGGGCTCTTCTTTCTGCTGCCCAAGGTGGGCCTGGCCGGCTCTCGCTCTGCGTGAGCATCCTGATTTCTGTCCCCATATACGACAAGATGGGGGGAGAAGTGCCTTGGGGACTTTGGAAAAGCATCTTGCTGATGCTTTGGGAATACAATTAATTAGTGGATTTGTCTGGTTTTGGAAGTACTTTTAATCTAACATGTCTTTTTTTTTTTTTTTTTTTTAATTGCTGATGAGTTTCAAAAGGCTGGAATGCGGTGATGGAAGTGGGGGAAAGTCATGGGGGGGGGGGGGGAAATAAAACCTGCTGTGGTCCTGAAAAGAGTGGGTCTGTTTGCTTGTGCCAGTACCACGGGTTAGAAAGGAGGGAGTTGCTTAATTGTACCCCCCAATTCCAACCCCCCCAGGCTGGAGGACATCCCTAGAGGGACCAGAGCACCAGAGCTCAAAGCTCAGGAGAATCAGGACCAACACTTGACTGGCCTTTTTTTACTGGTATTACTGATCCCACTGGGCTGGGCAACTCTTAGACGAAAAAATACCAAGAACCAAAGGATCTCAACTCAGTGTTGAGCAGCTGAAGGGTGTGATGAAGGGCTGTGGTGGTCCCAGTGCAGCCACTTCTCCCTGCTGGAGGCAGAACATGGGGTCCTTCACGCTGCTTGCTGATTCCCCTACCTTTTATTTCGTGCTCTTAGTGCTTTCTGGCAACATCCATGGTCCAGATGAGTGGACCATAATACACAACCTCAGCTTCCTCTCACTGCTGTTGAACCAGGGGCTTCTGTGCTCATGGGGACAAGCTGGAAGATGCCTGAAAAGCTGAAAGTTAGCGAGTAGAACAAGAGAACCCCAAATTGCCTGCCTCACCCTGATTTTCTCAGCGCTGGGGTTAGGGATGAGCTGAGGTGCTGCCTGGGAGGTGAATGCCACCCTCACGGGCTGGCCCATGTCCCAGGGGCCATCCCCATGGCAGCAGGATCCATCCTGTGGTCCCGGGGGCCAACCTGACCCATCCTTTGTGCCACCCTTTGCCTTTTCCTTGCTCATCGCTCCAGGACACGGGGTCCCACTGTCTCCAGTGCCCTGGAGAAGATGGAGATGCTGTGTCAGTGCCCTCATGTGTGATGCCCGTGGAAGCCTGATGCCCAGACCTCTGGTACAACCCTCGGCTGGACCCCACGGTGAGATTTGAAGTGGAGATCTCTGCTGTCACCTGAGAAACAACCCCCCCAACCTCCCCAGAGAAATCTGGTGGTGTGCTCCACCCCCTCTGCTTTGCAAGGCTCGCTTTCCCAGACGCTCTTTTAAGTGAGGTTCACCCTTTGCGCTCCCTTCTACATAAAAGTAAATTTAAAAGCTCCTTTTTTTTTAAAAAAAAAAAAAAAAGAGCACTGTGTGTCTCAGCTCAGCAGCTGAACTTACGCTTTGCCCTCAAGTTATCAAATCTGTCTCAGCTCAGCAGCCGAACTTACGCTTTGCCCTCAAGTTATCAAATTCCCTTAGACATTTCTCTTTACCAAAAACCTGCAGTTGAATTAAGGAGCTCCTGGTATGCTGGGTTGTTGTGTTGGTTTGTTTTTTGGTTTGTTTTTTTTTCCCCAAAAAGCTTTAAGTCTTCCCTGCAAGAATTTAATATGCTGGAAAGAATGGAACTCTTCCCTGCCAGGCTGAGCACGGGGAAAAGATGGGGGTGATGGCAGGGGGCAGGTCCCAGTTGGTTGCTGGGTTAAAGCCTGGCTCTGTAAGCAGCGAGATGGGCTGATATTTCCCAAATCTGATAGCACTTTCAGAGAGGAGCTGGTTTAAGAGCTGGGATGTGGAGGGGACAACTTCTCCCTGCCATGCCCGGAGCCTGGACGCCCACGTTGGGAGATGGCTTTAAACAGAACAACCACCCCTTCTCTCTAAAACCCTCTTTCTCCATCTTGGGAAACCCCTTCCTGGAGCAATGAGCCCTTCGTGCCCCTCCGGGGGCTTTGCAAAGGCAGCTCGAGGAAGCGTTTCCTCAGGAATGGAGGGGAATGGGTTGAGGGCACTGCCCGAGCCCAAATTTTGCTCCCAGGTGTCACCTTGGAGCCACCTTGGGTCTTTCTCAGCGGAGAGGTGGGTGTCCTGGAGCCATCCCACCGTGGGTCTGCTGCCCACGGCAAGGACCAGCGCTGGGGACCTGATGTTCCCCTGTGCCCCCTTCTTCCCCCCAGCCTGGGGACATGTAGGGACATGTGGGGACACATCCCTAAGCCCAGCCCTGCAGAGGCAGCATTTGTCCCCTCTCAACCCCCAGGAGAACCTGGCCCTGGAGGGAGCGGGGAGGGAAAAGCAACGGGCTCCACTGGGGAAAATTGTGCTCCAATAATGAGAGAAGGAAGCTTTTTTGGGGACTCATCTCTGCACCAGACCCCAGGAAATGTGACCTGAATACTCAGGACCTGCTCCCCACGGAGAGGACCAGCGCTGGGGACCTGACGTTCCCCTGTGCCCCCTTCTTCCCCCCAGCCTGGGGACATGTAGGGACATGTGGGGACACATCCCTAAGCCCAGCCCTGCAGAGGCAGCGTTTGTCCCCTCTCAACCCCCAGGAGAACCTGGCTCTGGAGGGAGCAGGGAGGGAAAAGCAACGGGCTCCACTGGGGAAAATTGTGCTCCAATAATGAGAGAAGGAAGCTTTTTTGGGGACTCATCTCTGCACCAGACCCCAGGAAATGTGACCTGAATACTCAGGACGCCCCTCATCATCCCCGTGCCTGCTTGAAGGCTGCATCATGCCGTGGGGAGGAGGAGGAAGAAGAGGAGGAGGAGAAACCCCTCATCGTCCCCGTGCCTGCTTGAAGGCTGCATTGTGCCATGGGGAGGAGGAGGAGGAGGAAGAGGAGGAGGAGAAGGCAAGGCTGCTGCTCTGCGTCCCAGCCTGGCTCTCCCCACGGGATGCTGGCACAGCATCTCCTTCCCATGCCTGGAACCTGCTCTGTCCCAACCTCCCCATCTCCCCGGCACCGAGCCAGCTCCCAAAAATCTGTGATTTGAGGGGGGGAAGCACCTTGAACCCCCTTTTACTTTCCAGCCAAGAGAGGCAAAAGCCCGGCAGGAGGGGCAGTGAGTTCCCCGGATAACTCCCTGCTCTGCGCACACGGCTGAACTTCCCTGCTTTCTGCTCATCTTTAATTAAGCATTTCTGTCGGCCGAGCCCTCTTGCTGGAGCTGAGTTATATTATTATTTCCTCCTCCCCCCCCCCCCCCCCCCCC